TTCATCCATACTTCTCAATTAGAGACGAGCTAGCAACACAGGATGGCGTAATATTCAAGGGTCAGAGAGCAGTTGTTCCAGAAACACTGCGCAAAAAGATCCAGAATAAACTGCATGTAACACACACAGGAATACAGAGCTGCCTCAGAAGAGCCAGAGAAGCAGTTTACTGGCCTGGCATGAACAAAGATCTTATCGACTTCATCTCGAAATGTGAAATCTGTAACACATTCCAAAACAACCAGACCAGAGAGCCCCTTATTCCTCGTGATATCCCAAGCCGCCCCTGGCAAATAATTGCTGCTGACATTTTCACAGTCAATAACAAAGACTTCCTCTGTACTGTGGATTGCTACTCCAACTACTTTGAGATAGATCGTGTATTTTACAAAGCTTCTCTACTTCTTCTCGACTCTTCTCTACTCATGGCATACCAGATGCGCTCATGAGTGACAACGTACCTTTCTCCTCTAAAGAATTTCAGGATTTTGCCAAGGAATATGAATTTACCACCGAGCTAAGCTCGCCAGAGTACGCACAGAGTAATGGCAAAGCAGAAAATGCCGTCAAAACTGCAAAGATGCTAATGAAAAAAGCGACTAAATCTGGCAATGACTTCTATCTCGTGCTACTAGAATGGCGAAACACGCCGTCTGAGGGGATTGAAAGCTCTCCTTCCCAGCGTATTTTTAGCAGACGAGCTAAAACGCTGCTTCCTATATCGAAGAAGCTCCTTTAACCAAAGGTTGTCACTGGTGTCCAAGAAAAACTTCGAAAGAGGAAAGAGATACAATCAAAGTATTATAACAGAGGCACAAGGGAGCTAAGTGCATTAAAGAAAGATGATGTAGTTCGGATAAAGCCAAGAAATTCCGACAGAACAGGCCGCTGGACCAAAGGATGTGTCATAGAGCAAGTTGGTGTAAGATCTTACAATGTAAAAACCGAAGATGGAAGAATCTTCAGACGAAATCGAAAGTTTCTACGTCAAACCAAAGAGCCTTTCTTTGCAGATGAAGAAGATTCAATCATTTTCCCCATAAAGGAAAGAGAAGCAGTGGCTCGACCTTATGAATATCACCAATCTGAAATGGAGCAATTTGATCCGCAAGAGGCACCTCACTCACGACCTGATGCTACTGAAGAAGAGGCAGCAGCCGCCAGACCTTCTGAGACCAGATTTGATCACAGGCAATTGAACTTTTACCAGCCAGTAACGACAAGGAGTGGCAGGAAAGTAATTCGGCCGGACTACCTCACTGACCACAACTTCTGATTAGCAAACTTTAAAAACAATTATTTTTATTATCTTACTGTTCTGTTTATTCTTTTGTTGGAGGAAAGGTGTGACGTTATTAGCCTCGTATTTATGTTATGTTGGGCATGCGCCCGGTTCGTTATGTTATGTTATATTATGTGATGCGTGAGAATATGAAATGGAGTATTGAAGTTCGAATTCGGGTGTTCTTTCGTTGTTATATACCGGATATTCTTACACTCTTTAAGGCGTTTAAGGCAATTTTCAAGAGCCTGATCATGCTCTTGACGTGTACTTCTAAAGACTAGGATGTCATCGGCTATATTCTGAACACCAGCCATTCCTTGCAAGTGTTGCTGTAACGTATGTTGAAATAGCTCAGCGCTTGCATTAGTTCCGAAGTTCAAGCGGGTATAACGATATAGTCCGAGATGAGTGCTAAAAGTAGTAATGTAACGACTGTCTGGGTGCAACTCTAATTGATGATATGCCTGGGACAAATCAAGCTTTGAAAAGAATCTAGCACCATTCAACTCTAAACTGGTATCAGCTACTGTTGAAATCAAGTGACGTACACGTTTGATTGCAGTGTTTGCTGCGCGCATGTCTACACATATTCTGACATTGCCATCCTTCTTTGGTACTGCAACTATTGCCGATACCCATGGCGTTGGTTGAGAATAAGGCACCTTTTCAATAATTCCTTGACTTTCAAGCTCTTTTATGGCTACCTTGACCTTTTTCCTAATGTGGAAAGGAATTCTACGCTGTGGCTGAGCAACTGGAGGTACACTTGAGTCAATGTTCAATTTAACCTGGTGATTCTTTAATTCACCAAGGCCTTGAAACACAGAAGAATACTGCTGTAGAACTTTGGCTAGACTGTCGTCCTGGAGATTTTGGCTTTGTACTGCATTTAATTGAAGCTTAATAAGGCCTAATTCCTGTGCAGTCTGAAATAAGTAAACATCCGCTGTCCTTCCCTTTTACCACATAGAATGCCCCACAGTGCATTTCTTCTTGGTTTCAATAATGCTTTCGAATTTTCCAAGAAACTCAACTGGTATTTTACTCTGATAAGGATATGCCTTTGTGCTTGTGCGCAGGAGCTTAACATTTTTTAGATTTGCAAAAGTGTCAGCATCAATCACATTTATTGTAGCACCACTGTCCACAAGAGCTTTGAATTTGTGACCTGCAACAGTAATCCATACTTGTGGTGTGCGTGGACTGGCGGAAGACATTGCGTACATATATTCATCCTCAGAACTAGAAGAATACTCAGTATGTTTGAGTGGGCGAATTCTTAGTTTGTGCTTTCGATGTGATCTGCCACCTTTGTTTCTGCGATCTGTTTTGTCTCCTTTACTTCTACAAACGACCGCAAAATGTCCTTGTTTACCATAGCTTCCGCATTGCTTTCCTTTTGCAGGACATTCCCCTTTGTGAGGGTAGTCCCCTCCGCAAGTATAGCATTTCTTGCCTTCTTTGTTGACAGATTTAAAAGGATGTACAACATCAGCAGTATTCTCATTAGATTCAATCTCTCGAGTTTGAAAGGAACTCTTTTCTTCACATCTTCAATCAAGTAACATTTGTTTCAGATCGTAGGTAGGGTCACGTATTGCCTTTCGACGAATTCGCGAGGAAATACCACCAACAAGCCTGTTTCGTGAGTAACCCACTCTTCAGGAGATGTTGATATACTGGAATATTCCTCGAATAAATAGATAATACGGTACAGAAGGTGTTACATAATATGTGAGGTTATACAAAAGGTGAATTAGGGGCGGTACATAAGGGGATCTAGACGGACCTGTCGATGAAGAAATTCACCGCATCTCTTTTATTTTTGTAACAAATAAATGAATTTCTGTGTACGAAGAAAATTTACTTATTTCGACGTATTCATAACTGTCTTCAACAGCATCTTAAGAGTACCAGTATTCTTCGTACACAGCGACAGGATACCTACCTTTTATAATAACCCAAGAAATCTATTTACAATTTACGTGACCATAGCTTCGCGAGCGATTAACTAACTAACTCATTAACTAGCGTGGGCAAGTGCATTGTGTACCGAAAACAATGGGCTTTTAGCAATTACAACAAGTGCCATGCGCAGACGCAAGACCTGGTTAAGGGCCAAAGCAAAAGCAAACCATTTAATGACATTATGTTTGCACATATAAAAAAACAGATTTTGACAAATTGGACATTAATTTGGTAGCAAAGAAGTTTGTACAGAGAAACGACCAGAGGAAGGACTATTTTGGCAAATGAACCCCGCTATAGACTTTACAGATTTGTCTTTTCTGTTCAGTTGAAGGTAAAATTATCTGGGATTTATAAAATGATAAAATTAAGTGATTTGAATCAAAAATTGTTTGGTAGAATTCCATTAATTTGTCTTGCGCCAACCATATTATTCCTATTATTATTTTAACGTATCACTGAAGTTTGTACTACGCCCATAAAGTTGTTGTTGTTCATGATGATGATGATGATGATGATGATGATGATGATGATGATGATGATGATGATGATGATGATGATGATGATGATGAGGATGATGAGGATGATGATGATGAAAAATGCCTCCTTGCCTTTTATTCTTTCCGGAGTGTTTTTAATGAATTTGTTGGATATGGATGTTGCAATGGTTATACGGGTTTATTATGTGTAGTACTGGGCCCTTTGACGTTGCAAGACCACTGTTTCCTGTTTGGTTTGGTTTAAGTACTGGTAGTCTCACGACTTTGTCGAATAGCTTATTTATATAATTTATTCGATATCCTCTCATGATAAGGTTCTTGTAGTTTCAATTCTTGTACTTTTAAATAAAGCACGTTTACCATAAAGCTTGGATGATAGGACCACCTTTACAACTCCATGGATGGAAAGCAAACTTTCAAAATGTGGTCAAAGCAAAAATATGATGCTTTCGATTAAAAAACAATAAAATTATTATTCTTCAAAATCCCTATGGTTTTAATTCTCCTTTTTTAATTTTTTAAATTTGCAGCCCCCCTCCCACCAACAAACACCCCTGAGGGCATCTGATAATTTACAGAACGCGAGAATCTTGCCAATATTGAAAAATAGTGGTACACACAAATATGGTGGGTAAAAAAGTCCTTTCTTTTTAGTTCAAGCCAAAATACTTAAAAATTCATGATTTTAAAGCACAAATTTATAGATGCTTCCTATACGCATTTTACCCTAAGCCAAATTCAATTGGCATCCACTGAAACTTAAGCTGCTATTTTTTTTGTATGAACAGCTCTATTTTCAACTGCGACCACGTGCTTTTCTTTAACAAAACTCTTTTTCTGTTACCGATACCAGTTATGGCACAGTCATTTTCTGTCCCAAGTGTTAGCGATATGTATATTGTGATTTTTAAATTATTGTCTTATGTAGAACTTGTGCCTTGTCTGAACCGATTTCTTATAAAACCTTTCTGATTTCTAACCATTTACAACTTTTTGTTCATTGTCAGTTGAAAACAGAACATTTTTTAAAGTGTCGTGCTAATTTTCACTCACAAAAAGTATTTGTCTCAATAATTTGTTTCAGTTTTTAGATTTTCTCTGCGTTTCTTTGATCGTTTTTTATGAAATATGGTTATTTTTAAACCAGTTGAAAAGTAAACCCGTCTTTTCAAGTTTGTCGAGCAGAGTTTCTAGAGAACAGGAGCAAGCTTTTACTTGATGCAAAGTGATTGACATTTTGTTTTCAGTCTAGCATGCACTTGCGAATCAAAGGTAAAAGCCGCTAACGAAGGAAGAACTCCAGCAGAGCAATACGTTGGCTTTGCTCTACACTTCTGGGGAGAATGCTATGGCAGAACACAGGCTCAAATTGATTCATTGGCCACCAGAAGTAAATCTGAACGATGTACCGGTGATCAAACCTACAAAAAGTGCTATGATACAAACCCAGAGTGCACTGGCCATGCTTTTTCTGAATTTGTGTACAAGCTGAGTCCAGTTAAAGGTAATGATTTTTTATACAATGGTTGAAAGCTTGTGTTCAAATTTCATAATAATTTTCAGCTTATTTTTCAAAAGAATGCTACATATTTCAACTTAGGACTGATGTTTTAGAGGACAATAGCGATAGCTACGTATGGATACAATGTACGGATACGTGCGGAATCTTCTTGAAATAATCAAAAAAGAAACGCCAGGATAGGACATTTTTTAAAACTGTAACTCACTTCATATCAACTCAATACAGTCTCATTACATTACTCGCTGAAACTGGCTAGTGCTCATTAGTTACATAAGGATTCTTAAGCGATTGCGTCATAAAAATATGATGTTTAGAATGGACCGAATAATCATTTGGTTTGGCCTCGTTTTGTTTCACTCTGCGCAGTCTGCTACTGTCTTTGCAAAGGATCTTCTTATTGCTTGATTTTCTTTCTTCCCTTTTTTATTCAAATGCTGCTATTCCCACTAAGACTAAAAAAGATGCCCGCAAGACAACAAAAAGTTCTATCAGATTCAAACCCAGTTCGTTTTTTAAATTATAGCGCACAAGTGTTCACAATATGTTGCTAGGGCAGCCTTTCCACTAAGGCAGCCTTTTCACTAACCTTGGTTAAAACAAAAACGGGTCAAAATGTATCCGTTTTTAAAGCAAGTCAATGGAAACGCCAAGCTCGTTTAGATCCGTTTATGATCGTTTCCACTTAGCTGGGTTACTATTAGCCTCGCGTAAACTCGACTAATTTTTCCAGAGATGAATTTAGTTGAATGGAAAATTCAGGGTTTTGTCTTCCAGTAGAGTCTGCGAATCAGCGACAAAAACCGTGTCCATGGTCACGTGCGGTTCCCAGGGTCTAGGAGCCATTCCTGATTGGTAGAAACTTTTCCCATTGTTGTTGCGGAATATGAATGGCAAAGGAAAAGCCTGCAGGAGGAGCATTGATCGCAGTTTGAGCGAAAAAAAGATGTCCAAAGCGTCTTTAGTTAAGCTTCCTGCCTCCTTGGAATTGCTTCATTTAATTACGAACAAAGAAGGCTTTTCAAGTTTTTGTAAACGATTGTTAAGACATTACAGTGTCAAAGCAGCCCGTCAACGTCGTCACAACTGTAACAACGTCAGAAAATTCGGGTTTTCGTCAACCGTTTACAACCGTTTAACATCTCGAATTTACTGCAAGAGATCGTTCTGAAATGTATTTTTAGCTAATCTGAGGTGCATAGTTGCCAATTTTTTTGCTCGCTTCGCTCACAGTTAATCCCCATTTTCCATTAAAAATACATTAAAAAAGCTAAATAAATTGAAAGAGAAAATAAACAAAATAACTTTCGGAAAAGGGACAACAATTGATATAAGATATAAGTATATACAACAACAACAACAAGATATAAGTACACAATTTAAAATTTCACCAAAGGCTTTATTTAGACTGAGGTACACATACCTAGTCTACTATTGGCTATCGCGCTAAAACTTTATGACTAGGCAAGTTGTACAACTGAAACTTTGTTTTCTGGCGAAATCTGACGTGCTTAGTTAGATAGAGTATATTTCCAGTCTGCGAAACAAAGAAATAAACTGCCTATAAGATATACTATTTGATATAATTTGATGTGCTAAATACTTCATAAGACCTTTTTGTTTGATTTTTGCCAGTTGAGCTGTGAATCGCTTGCCACGTCTTTTTAGGTAAGCTTCGATGGGAAACACTATAATCAAGGGCGTTGTTAGCGGGGGGTGTACTGAAATGCAACCCCTCCAATACTTCTTGAATTCGTCGGTAAATCTTCAGTTTGTTTATAGAATCCTTATCCTGTTGCTAAAATCTTCTATCAGTAAGTGAGATAGCACCTAAGTTCTTCTCCATGTCTTCGTCGATAAATTTTTCTATTGATGACCCTCCACCCCCACCCCCTAGTCTGGCATGTCAAGCTTATAAGTAAAAAAAAATTGGAAAGAAATGTAAAAGAAATTGCTGAGCATCAACACATAAATTCTATAAGGGACTATGAGAAGTTTTCAGAAATAAATAATACTTCATTCAACAAGTTTTGCTTTCTTCAAATTGCATAGAAAGAAACTGAAGATGAATTGACGCATACAGAGGAAGTAGCAAATTGCGTATTGTCCCTAAATGAATATGATAAAATGATTTTTGCTTTTTGCAAATCCTCAAATGGGAATGCCAATGTATAATTTTTGGTTACTAAAAGGCAAGGCCAAAATCATAGGATTACATCACAAAAATACGTTGCCACAAAACATTACCACTCTCCCAACATTTTCTTATCGAATATGTCCTCCCTGTTCTTCCCGTGGCGCCGCTACTGCAGCACTTCAACGATCGTCAGGGGAGTCACAGTTGGAGAGGGGCCGGTAAGTCTAGAATGGGTTAGAACTTGTAAAAAGAAACATTGCTCAAAGGTTTGGTCAAAGCCACAACCGTGGTTGGCGGCAACAAAAATCTTGAAAATTTGACATTCTGACCGAGAAATGGAGTGTATTAACAGAGTCGATTGAAAGCCAAAGAAAGTCTCTGGCAATTTCCGTGAAGTTGTTATTATCATCATGCTCCAAAATTTTTGCTTGAATTTAAATGAAGTTTGAAAGGTCTTAGAATAAATTTTAAAGCCAAAGATTGAAAGCCAAAGAAAGTCTCTGGCAATTTCCGTGAAGTTGTTATTATCATCATGCTCCAAAATTTTTGCTTGAATTTAAATGAAGTTTGAAAGGTCTTAGAATAAATTTTAAAGCCAAAGATTGAAAGCCAAAGAAAGTCTCTGGCAATTTCCGTGAAGTTGTTATTATCATCATGCTCCAAAATTTTTGCTTGAATTTAAATGAAGTTTGAAAGGTCTTAGAATAAATTTTAAAGCCAAAGATTGAAAGCCAAAGAAAGTCTCTGGCAATTTCCGTGAAGTTGTTATTATCATCATGCTCCAAAATTTTTGCTTGAATTTAAATGAAGTTTGAAAGGTCTTAGAATAAATTTTAAAGCGCAAAAATTTGAACACATCAACATTAAAAAGATCAAGAAGCTTTGAAAAGTTTTGGTGTTGATTTGGTGTTTGGTGTAAACAAAATCAAATGGTAAAATGATTTCTTAATTCAACTTTATTGAAGTCAAGCGAGTCAGCCTATTCAATCTTTTTTTTATAACCACGCCCAACTTTACTCACTCCCACCCTAACCATGTAGAAAACGTCATACATATTCGTGAGACCCCATGCCGCTCCCTTCTCCAAATTCCTCGGACCTACCTATCCCTAGCCTGAGTTTCAGACCCCAAACTATTTGGTGTCTGGGGCTCAGGCTAACCTATCCCTACCTTAGCGCTGTCCAGCCCTGTCCATCCCGTTCCTTCACCCTTTATGCTTCTATATACACTAGGGTATCAAAAGTATTGCACCACCTTGTTCAAAATGGCGGCATAAATAAAGGGAAACCATTTTACCTGAATAAAGGGAAACCATTTTTACAAAGAATTATTTCCAAACAAAAGAATTTAAAGCTTTGACACAGTCTGATTAAAGTCCAATTTTTAACATCACTTAAAAAGTTTGACTTCACATAAAAAAGGTTACAAACCATGATCCAAATGATGGTCCAAAAACCAGAGAATCATAATTTCTAAGAGGTTTCCAGGCCTAATACGAAATTTCATAAGAATACGTTTCCCAAATATATGGGTCCATTTCCAGGAGACTTTTTACGGTTTCAAAAGTTTGTTGCTACCCGTCAAAATATTGAAATTTGAGACTGTTAAAAGACGTTTGCCACTGTTATCTTTTTAAAAAATGCTCTAAATAGATTGAAGTTTTGATTGGTCGTTGCTTTGCTTTCCACCAATTGCCATTTGCCAATTAAAAGCAGAATTAATGTGCATAACAATAGTTTTGTTTCGATCATTCATGCGCCATTTCTCCTCCTTCGAGGTGGTGCAATACTTTTGATAGACTAGCACATAACAACGCTGCAATGAGTACCCTGTGTTGATGGATTCATTTTGTAAAATAAAATCAATTTCAAAATAAAATCAAAGTAAAATAAACTGTCCCTGTCAAACCCTTGTATTAGGGAGGAGAGAGAACATAAAAAGTACAGTTTTTAATCCTTAAAAGTTGTTTTACCCACTTAATTAACAAATATGAACTTGCCTTTACGAGCCTATCGCTAAATTCCACTGATAAAAAGTGCAGTCCATCTTTCTCTCAAAATAACTACAATTGACAATTTCTCTTGCGCTCAGGTACTTTATATATGTATTTAAAAGGCTTGAGGATCGATGAGAAGCTCACATCCACTGATGTTCACTGCTACGGCCTTGTAAAAGCTGACGCAATCCGTCAACGATGAAAGGGTGGGAAATGCATTCATTTATGGAAATTACCTTTTCTATGTAAAAAATGTTTTTGGTTTTCTGAAAAAGATTCAAGAGCATCCCCGATCAAAGAAAATGTAAGAAAATGAAATGTTTAACACAGCAAAGCAATTTTGGTCGCTCAGCCAATCAAAGATTTGGAACCTATGCTATTACAGGCCAATTACTGTGTTGCCAGCGAGTTCAAAAATCATTGAACTATTATACTATAGACTATTATACGACCAGGCCATACCCTTCGCTGGGATTTTCGGGAAAGGCTACAACACATAGCACGATCTACTAAGATTTTTAGAAATCTGTAAAATGACCCTAGCCAAGGAAGGCATTGAAGGTGTTTTATAATTTAAAGCCTTCGACTGCATAGACCATGAATTCTTGATAGCAAAATTGCATGCCTATGGTTTTAGTAGATGTGCCCTACTTATGATTCACAGCTATTTGTCACAAAGGAGACAACGAGTTAAAATTAATGGGTCGTTTAGCACTTGGAAAGTAGTTCAAAAAGGTGTTCCACAAGGATCAGTGTTAGGACTAAATGTAGGAATAGCGGTAATAGAAGAAAGTGGCGAGGAAACATTACTGGGAGTTACACTAGACACAAAACTTAACTTCAAAACTCATGTGCAGACTCTTTGTAAAAGGGCCATCCAAAAACTGCATGGTTTATCTCGCATTTCGATTTTCATGGAATCCAAAAAAATAAAACTGATGATGAACACTTTTATAATGTCACAATTCAGCTACTGTTCATTAATCTGGATGTTCCGTGACAAAAATATTAATAACAAAATAAACAGGATACAGGAAAGGGTCCTTCGAATCGCATACAAAGAGAACACTTCTCCTTAAGAGAAATTGTTAGAAAATGATATTTCGGTATCTATACATCAAAAGAACCTACAGTTGCTCATGGTTGAAATTTACAAAACAAGGAATCACTTGAATCCCTCGTTTATGATGGAAATTTTTGGGGAAAAGGCAATGCCGTATCGATTAAGAAGCTCGAGCAATTTAAACCTACCAAAAGTGAGAACCACATGCTATGGTACAGATACCGTAAGGTTCATGGGTCAAAGATAATGGGCAAAATTACCTATAGAAGTGAAAACTTCAGTCTCTTTGACTGTTTTTAAAAAACATCTTAAGAAAACAAAATGTAAACGTTGCAACTGTAGGATTTGCAAAACTTTTTTATATGGTTTAGATTTTTTGTAATTATTATGTATTTCTTTTGTATACACCTTTTGTAAATAGTTGGCCTTAATTAGCTTTTATTTCTAGCTATTTCGAACAGCCAACTTTAAATCAAAGTAATGCTTACATTTGTAAGTCTCGTTTTGATGAGCCATTCCTTGAGCTCATTGTAATCAGTGTAGAGGAGTTGCAAAGGGATGTTCAGTATTAAAAAACATTATTGTCAAACACAGCATTTGCCATAGAGCATATCTTTTTAAAATTTAATTTCTTTTCTAGATGTTATTCAAAAAGTGCGAGGATGCGATCTCAGCGGGGTTACAATCACTTGTGCCAGGGGAACAATCAAAATAGAAAATGTAAAATATGGCAAGCGAACCTCAAGCATATGTGGCGATCCGCTGTCGGTTGGATGGGATGATAAATGCCAGAATGCTGGAGGACAGACAATCATCCATTACGGGAATTTTTGCTCTGGAAGGGCAACTTGCCATATACCAGATTGGGCAAAAGACCCAGATGATCCTTGTCCAGCTGTGAAGAAGTTCGTTGATATTTCCTATCTTTGCAAAATGTAAAAGAACAAGATTTAACTTGAACTGCTGACATTTTTCTTCATTTAAACAAGTTTTATTTAAACATAAAATCAATATTTTAATCAAAAAAATAAATCCATTTATTCATTAACAGCCTCTCTATCCATTTTTGGTTCGAACTTTCTCTCACAAAACAGGAGACGAGCAAATAAACTCTTTCGACAGTTGAGACATCGATTATCATACTATGCTGTGTGATGCTATTCCTACTGGCTGCCTCTAAATCACTCACATTTGTGCAGGATTGGTCGATAGAAGAGCATTTTTTATTTGAAATGGCGAGGTACAAGGAGCCCTTGATTGGTTCATTCCCTTTTTGCTTAGGGCTTCTGTGGGCTGGATTCAAAAGTGCAGGAGAAGGTTCATTAAAGGCACTTTCAGTGGCGGGCTGGCCCCTCACAATCCTACGAAAAAGGGCTCCATTTTTGCAGATAAAGGGCCTTATTTTAGAAATATATGATTTGCCCCATTTTGATGCCCCATTACAAATAATGAACAATATGCACAAATGTATTTAACATGTGATTGTAAAAGGGATTGGGTCCAATTTAAGACTTCTGTATGGGTCGTTATTATTTGGGGTTCTTAATCTTATAGAATTTTCTGAAAATTTGATTTTCATAAACCCAGGTTCAGTTTTCCTAGCATAAGATAAATGTTCCCTCAAAGTTTAGAGTTCATCTAGATCTTTGGCGTAGGTCTAGCCCAGGGATTGGCAACCTACGGTCTGCCGGCCTGAATCAGGACCGGGAAGAGAATTTTTGTAGCCTGCGAGATGATAAAATCAAATTAAATTTTCTTTGGTTGGCAAAGAGGATTTTCCGAAGTAGATGTCTAACTCACAGGTGCGCTGTGAGGCAAATTTGTTTACTTCCGCCATTTTAAATAGAGGCTAAAAGGCACTTTTGTGAGAAGCAGGGATGTCCCGAAGCATTTTAGTTAGGGGAATATTTGGATGAATCTACCTGATTTTGTGTTAAAATGCCTTTCTTACCTGAAAATATTTTATCCATTTCTAAACAACTACAGAAAATATTTTAATAATCATAAGGTCCTAATTAACTGATTCTCTTATTGAGAATTTCAGGTCAAGCTTAAATCAGGTCAAAAAAAAGTCAAGCTAGGCTGAAAAACCGTTCATTTGCAGCAACTGATGGGGTTGCATTGATAAAAAAGCCTGTAAAATTTGTTGCCAGCTTGAATATGATATGCCTTTCCTCGAACTGTGAAGCAATCTTTGCTGCAGTGCAACGCAACTGTGGAATTTCTTTTCCTTCTTCTAAATTCCTGCTGACACTCCTTTTTCAAAGCTATTTTCAAGTTCTGTACCGACAAAAAACTGTAAATAAATGTTAAACGCAAAATGCATTAAAAAGAAAGTACAGAAAAAAAATTAATGATATTATTTTGTGGAAATAATAAACAGTTGTAGAAAGAAATTAACCCAAGAGATTGGAAATAAATATAAAACTATGTAACTTATACTGCCAGAAACTGTCACGTATCCTACCATTCCCATTAAGTCTATCTATAATAGTAACTTTAATATCTTCGAGAAACCCATGATGATCCTTCCCTGCAAAATGCCGAAAAAAATCAGCTTAAGGTATACCCGAAGAGCCCCCGATAAACTTAAGATTGCACGCCTTGTAGTTATTAAGCCTAAGCCTAAAAGGCGTGCAAGTGCTACCCACATACTGTACACCACATACTTTACATTCCATAAGATACACAACATTGGACGAATCACAGTTAAACGGAACATTTATCTTATATGCCTTATGAGTTAAATGGGAAGTAAAAGTATCACTGTCACACATAACATTACACACTTGACATCTAGACTTGCCACATGAGTACAACCCCTATTATGCGTGGTCCCTGCCCTCTCATTATAAAGTTTAGCCCTAACTAGTAAATCTTTGTGATTCTTACATTGTTTGAATAACATCAAAGGTGGCTGAGGAAACAGCCTCCTATGCTCTTCCGATATCATCAGCATAGAATGGAGTCTCCCGGCCACCTTGTCCAAACTATTCAAGGCTGGATGGTAAGTGGTAACCAACGGAACCCGCCCACCCCCATTGTGATCATGTTTTCCATTAGCCTTATCCAGTAGTGTAGTCCTATTTATCTTACGTGCCTTATTTATCTGTTCTGTGATAACTGATTCCTCGTACCCCCTTTCCTTTAACCATCCAGCCAAGTCCCCTAGCCCATCCCGTAATTGGCATCGTCCGAACAAATCCTACGTATCCTCAAAGCCTGACTATAGGGTGTCGCCTTCTTGGTACGCCATGGGTGACAAGATTCTTATGTAAAAACATCATCGATGAATCTCATCCAGACCATGGATGTATCCACTGATTCCTTCAACAATCTTTTCGCATAAGCTGAGGTGAACTTAGTTCCTATAGCTGTGCCTAACTTCTGTCTATAAAACCTATCAGTAAATTCAAAGTAGTTGTTTTCGAGAACCAGAGATGCCAATGCCATTAGGGTATCAGTAGCCACGTTTGGGTTTTCCTTTCTATCCAGCGCTTTCTGATGGCTTCTAAACCCTCCCCATGTGGAATGTTAGGATAGAGTCCCATAACATCAACCATGCAGAGTATCTCCCCCTCTGGTATCCTACCTATTTCACCTAATTTAGACAAGAAATGATTTGTTTCCTTAATGCACTACCTACCGAGGCTAACCAATGGATTAAGGTGGTGATCTAGAAATTCTGAAATATTTTCTGTAATGGTGCCACAATTGGAGATGACTGGCCTACCCTTAACCCCACTTAATCCATTGTGAATCTTAGGCAACAGATAAGTCTACATAGTTTTCCCTCATTGACCTTAAGAAAATCAGTCACTTCCTTTAACCCGGGGTCCTCTACCCTCAACTCATTAATCCTACTATTAACGGCCTTACCCAATCATTAACTTGTCTATCACCTAATTGTCGGTTATGCCTCTTTTATATAGTCCCCCCTGTCCCAAACTACAACCGCTGATCCCTTGTCCGCTTCCTTGATAACTATGCTCCTATCACATTTAAGATTATTCAACGCAGTGAGTTCAGAAGAGGAAAGGTTACTCTGATACTTTCCCTCCGTCTGGACTGACAGCACTCCCTTTTCGAGTTGAGAAAGATAGAATTCTAGCAAAGGATCAGTATTAGAAGGACTCCAGCTGGACTTACGTTTGAATTTAAGACTATTGCTATCTAAAGTTTTCGAGTCAGTGTCTCTAAAAAACCATCATAGACGCATTGTTTTAAAGAAGATTCTTCTCCCTAATAATATAGCCTTTGCTTGCACTTGACTGTCGAGTATGAAACACGAATTGACAAAGGGATTGCAACAGGAAATGGAAAACTGAAGGTGACTAGTTTGGAATGGAAAACGCTACAAAGAGGTACAAAAGATGGCTAGATCTAGCCAAGTTGCAAAATATAGACGAGTTTTGAAAATAATGTTTCTGTGGGTAATAACTGCGCAAAACATTGAGTCGCTAGTGGTGCTCTGAAAAAAAGGCAAAGTTGCTGCAACTTCTTAATGAAAAAAGGGGACAGGAAAGATCACTGGCTTTTTGGAATGCAAGGGCACAAGTACAAGTTCTGTTAGCATTTGATTAAAGTGGTTTTCGAAATTATAAACCTAAGCGTTTTGTGAAAGATATTGTATGCAAACACATAATACGCTTGAAATACAGGCAGAAAACTAATTTAGCGGATGATTACCAAAAATTCAAGGGGAACCTTTCTTATTATGATCATGATATTATTATTAAAACATGAAATTTTCGTACAGATATGTAAAACATAAATTTGATGAAATCATCTGCAAGTTGGCTCCATCTGTTGCTAAAGAATACATAAAAGAAGATTAGTTGCCAAATTAAAACTTGCTCAATCGAATGGTGTAATCATTTCCGACAAATTGCACGTACAACTGTGCGATTTCACACCTTAAAGTTGTGAATGGTGCCACTCTTAGTGCGAACAAGGAAACGCGGCCAGTCGGGAATTCTAGAAATTGGTGAAGTAATCTGATATATACATAAATTTTCCACGAAGTTAATGTAGTGGATAAATCAAAGCAAAACGAGTAGGGAGAAGAAGCCTAAGCCCGAGAAAGGTCATTACTGTTGCGCTGGGGCTCCGAATTACGGTGGCCCACAGGTGCCACGGCAAAACTTTCTTTCTCACGGCAAAACTTTCTTTCTCACGGCAAAACTTTCTTTCTCACGGCAAAACTTTCTTTCTCACGGCAAAACTTTCTTTCTTACGGCAAAACTTTCTTTCTCACGGCAAATTTTTCTTTCTCACGGCAAAACTTTCTTTCTCACGGCAAAACTTTCTCTCTCACGGCAAAATTTTCTTTCTCACGGCAAAACTTTCTTTCTCACGGCAAAACTTTCTTTCTCACGGCAAAACTTTCTTTCTCACGACAAAACTTACTTTCTCACGGCAAAACTTTCTTTTTTCACGGCAAAACTTTATACCGGAAAGGAATGCATTCATAAACAAAGCCAAACGAATCTGCAAACGTGTCAAAAATGGCGGACAGAGGTGACAACATAGACGATCTGGTAAGGGAGTATTTTTTCAAGGGATTCACGTACAAGGAAATATGTCTGTTTCTTCAAAGAAATCACGGGTGCATTGTTAGCCTCAGGACACTGAAAAGAAAAATCAAGCGAATAGGTCTCCGTAGGCCAATGCCGGATTATGAAATGGATTCTGTAAGAGCAACTGTAGGAGGGATGCTAGATGGCCCCCAGAGTAATCTTGGATACCGCGCTGTTTGGCATGATCTTCAAATGAAGGGCATTAGGGTTCCCCGCAACATAGTAGCAAATTTACTTCGGGAGCTAGACCCTCAGGGTGTTCAAGAAAGGAGAGCACATCGCTTAAAAAGAAGGGCTTACCAGAATCTGGGCCCAAATGAAGCATGGCACTGTGATGGGTACGATAAATTGAAGCCATACGGTTTCCCCATACACGGTTGTATTGATGGCTGGAGCCGCAAAATTTTATGGCTGTTCGTGACCAGATCGAACAATCAACCCCACAACATTGCAGCTTACTACCTTGAGGCTGTAAATAAGTATCGTCGGTGCCCTGTAAATTTGATAACAGATCTTGGAACAGAAAATGGGATTATGGCTGGCATACATGCATTTTTAGGAATGGTCCAGATAGTCATCGCTACGTTCCTTCCCCGCGTAATCAGAGGATTGAGAGCTGGTGGGCTTTTTTTCGGCGTACCCACACGTCATGGTGGATCATTTACTTCAAAGATTTAACGGTGAACGAAGTCGACATGACAAGACAACTCCATTCCGAGTGTCTGTGGTTTTGCTATGCCCCGCTGTTACAGAGATGCTTGAATCGGGTGAAAGATCACTGGAACTGCCATTACATCAGGAGATCAAGACACGACACTGTGACAGGTAGACCAGATTCTCTCTACTATCTCCCTGATATCAATGGTGGCCTTGATAACCTGATACTGCCAGTTCCTGAGCAAGAATATCTGTATGCAAAGGATCACGTTATAAGCACAGATGAAGAGAACCAATATCAGCAATACTTTGAATACGTGAAGCAAGTATGTGATTTGAGGAAGCCAGATGACTGGCGGAGTGCACAAGACTTATTTGAGACAATCATGAGATATGCTGAAGCTGATAGCTAAGAAAAAAAGAGAGAGTATGCTTTTTTGTTGCATATAATTTGCTTACAAACTAATATGCAAAATGAATGCAGAAAACAAAACAAACTCAACAAAACATTTTTTTAACTAACTTAAATCTTGAAGGTACAGGTATTATATCTTATGTTGGCCCGCAAGTAAGTGTAAAGATCGGGAAAGAAACTCTTTGTATATCTCTTGAACATAACATCAACCTTCACTCGGCTAGTCCGATATACAATACTAGATACTAAAACAATGGTGTCCATAGGGAGTCCATAACATCTCTCCTCTTCTTCGGAAATCAAAATTACTAACATCGGTTATATATTCAGCAGTTTATTAATAAAGTAGTTTTCAATGTGTGATAACTTGACCATAGTACATAGGCATCATGCGTGGTCTCCTTGGATATCGATGTACAGTATCGGCTTCAGGTTCAGTGTCTGTTTGAATTGTATCATCATCATCATCAGCCTCTGATTCGATTTTTGATTCAAAGGAGTTATAAAACTTTTTGAAAAATGAAATGTTTCGAGTTATCCTATGGTCAGATCTTTCAGCGATTACTTTAGTTCCTCTGATGTCAATGACGCGATATGGCTTCGGATCGAATTTACTTGTCAGTTTGTTCTTTCTCTCTTGTTTGACGAGTACAAGATCTCCTTCTTTGATGTCGGATGGTTTTGTGTGCTGACGTTTGTCATAGTAGACTTTGGCTTTTGTCTTGCTATCTCTATCGTTTCGTTTGACAAGCTTGTGTTTGTTGGATGGTTTCGACGTGATTCCTATAGCAGGAATTTTCGTTCTGATCACACGATTGAACAGAAGTTCAGCGGGTGCAACTTGAGTTGTGCAGTGTGGTGTTGACCTATAGTTTAACAGAAATAAGTGCAGTTCCTTTCTCCAATTGTTTCCTTCAATTTTAGACGTTTGAAGTAGTTTCTTGAGAGGTCGATTGAAAGATTCTACTTCTGCATTCTGTCTAGGCCAAAGTGGTGTTCCTGGTTTGAATTCAATTCCCCATGTTTTCATGTATGTTTCAATTTCAATTCCGTTAAATGGTGGACCATTGTCACATATAAATTTGACTGGAATCCCGTGTGTTCCAAAAATACGATCAAGTTTTGGAATGATGCTTCCTGCTGCCGTTGATTTAACAATTTCGACTTCAGGAAAACGGCTGTATGTGTCAATGACAGACAGCAAATATTCTCCGGATGGTACTGGTCCAAAGAAATCCGCTTTGACCGTGTGCCATGGTGCTGGTGGTAGGTCTGTTGACTGCATCGGTTCCTTGCTGTTTTCATGTCCCGTTGCTTGGCAAGCAGTGCATTGATCTACGAATGCTTTCACTGTTTTATCGATATATGGGAACCATACTTTCTCACGCAGTAACATTTTCGTCTTAGTTGTCCCTGAATGTCCTGGTTTATGAGCAAGTTCTATAGCTTTGCGGCGTAGTGTCTGTGGTATGACGATTCTTGTGCTTTTTAGAATTATGTTTCCTGTGACAGTGAGATCCTGTTTGATGCTGCAAAGGACTTTGAGATCTCGTCTGTTGATGTTAGGATCTTGGATTTTATCCATTTCATGCCATCGATTTCTGCGAATCAGGTCAATTGCAACTTGGAGGGTTTTATCCTTTTCCGTCTCCTCCTCAATTTCTTTCAATGTCATGGCTTTTGGAATGGCATTTTTGGTGATGAAGTTTACATATTCTTCGGCAATTGTGTCTTGCTCCGAGCGATGCGACGCTGGATGTCTTGATAGGTAATCTGACGGATTATCTGATCCTTTCTTGAACTTTACGGTAAAGCTGTAGTTTTGCAGTCGCAATTGCCATCTCTCGATACGAGCGGGTGGTTTGGCAACTGGATTGTTGAAGATTGTTTCGAGTGCCTTGTGATCTGTAAAGACATCGAAGTTTCCTGCTCCATATAGGAACAGATGTAGACGTTCAATTCCCCATACTAGTCCTAGTGCTTCTCGTTCAGTCTGAGAATAACGCTGTTCGACAGGTGTCAACGATCTTGATACATATGCTACGATTTTGTGATCTGTCGCTTCCGGTGTCGATGTTTGAGACAGTATTGCACTAATTCCGTATGGACTGGCATCTGTAGTGACTGCTGTGTGCTTGGCAATATCAAAGTAGGCCATAACTGGATCCGATAATGGAGCTTTCCTTATTTTCTCGAATGCTTCTTGTTGGCTTTTTCCCCATTGAAATTGTGCATTTTTCTGTGTCAGCCTTCGCAGGGGCTCTGTGATTGATGCATAGTCTTGAATAAATTTTGCGCAGTATTGAGACATTCCTAGTAGACTACGGACTTCACTAACATTCTTTGGTGGTTGTGTATGGGCAAAATCTTGTACAAGACTTGGGTCAGGGCTAACTCCTTCCTTGCTGAAGACTAGGCCGTAGAATTGAAGACGTGTTTTGTTGAAACGGCATTTCCCTTCATTGAGAGTAATTCCCTTTTCCTCGAATCTTTGCAATACTTTCTCTAATGCAATATTGTGCTCCTCAAGGGTCTTTCCCCAGATAATTACATCATCAGACATGTTTTTGGCATTGCTGATATCTTGAATAGTCTGAGAAATGGTGTTCTGGAAAATTTCTGCTGCTGAGTTTACTCCAAAACAAAGTCTTTTGTATCTCCTGAGTCCCTTGTGTGTTGTGAATGTTGTTAGATTTCTCGACTCTTCTGCCAGTGTCAGCTGATGGTATCCTTGTTTCAAATCAAGTTTAGAAAAATGACACGCACCGTTTAAATCAGCAATCAGTTCATTTGTCGTTGGCATCGGGTGTCTTGTGCGTAAAATTGAGGTGTTGGGTAAACGCATGTCTACGCAAATTCTTATTTCTTCGCTGTTCTTCTTCGGGGTAATTACCAAAGGACTTACCCATTGTGTGGCTCCTTCCACTTTTTCGATTATGTCATCCTCCTCGAGTCGCTTTAGTTCTTCCTCGACTTTCTTTCGTATGTGGAAAGGGATACGACGTTGTGCTTGGATGACTGGTTTGATTGCAGGATTTGTGTGTAGCTTAACTTCAAAGTTTTTCAAATTTCCGACGCCTTTAAAAACCTTCTTGTGCTGCTTCAACAAGTGATTGACGTAACTTGGTGAATTTACCGTGGGCTGGGCTGAGTGTGTTTGTGTGGCTGTTTTTGTTTCTTGTTGCACGCTGTGTATGTTTATCTTGATAAGGTGCAAATCTTGAGCCGTTTGAGAACTGAGCAAATTCCCTTTTACGTTCTTTGCAACGTGGAATCGTGCAAGAGAAATCTTTTTACTTGTTTCAACAGTTTCTTCGAAAGTACCTAACAGCTGGAGTGGTGCTTTTGATCCGTAGGCAAAGATTTTGGTGTTTGACTTCGTGATCGTGACTGGTTTCCCTGTGGTATTAATTCTGTCAAACGACTTTTCATCCAGAATGTTGACACTCGCTCCTGTGTCGATGAGAAACCAAACTTCCTGTCCATTGATTTTGAGCTTAGTCTCCAATTTCTTTGTGTATTCGTTCGATTTATCCATACAGTAAACATATTCCTCTGAGCTGTCATCTGAGCTGGTATTGTCTTGTACTATGTTTACTTTCTCGCGGTTTTGTTGGCTTTTCTGACGTTGTCTGCAACAGCGAGTGAAATGATTTGGTTTCTTGCAGTAACTGCATACTTTTCCCTTGGCAGGGCAGGGTTTATTTCGATGAGGGTAGTCGAATCCACAGTTGTAACAAATAGCTGGTTTCCGTGAAGGTGGATTTGCAGAATTGCGTTTTTGTTGTGTTTTTCCTTTCCCACTCGGTCTGTCCCGTTTGAGCTCGATTTTCATGGCTTGCAATTTTTCTGTTGGCTCTGTGGTTTGTCTCTCTATTTCTTTTGCCTGTTCTTTACTGATTTCGTCTGTTTTGCCTTTCACCAAAATGTCTTGTAATGTGACCTCCTTTGTTTTCAGGGCGTACTTCCGCAATGAGGAACTCGAGCAACCTTGAATAATTAAAAAATTAAACAAACCTTGGTGTAGTTTGATGTAGATTATTTTCCATACCTAGAACCAAACGACGTGGGATTTATACGAGCAACGCGCGGCGTTCGACCTGATTCAAAGACATACCAGTGGAGCCTGCCAGTCCTGAAAATGAACACTAGAAAAAGGGGAAAATACATAATTATTTGGGTCGGGTGGGCGTATAAATCCCACGTCGTTTGGTTCTAGGTATGGAAAATAATCTACATCAAACTACACCAAGGTTTGTTTAATTTTTTAATTATTTTCCATAACTAGAACCCAAACTCCTTTCGGTATTTATACGAGACTTCAAAGAGACTGGCAATGTGTTGATCAAGAAGACTTGAACTGAGAAATGATCGATTGTACGCACACAAATAATCAATATTAACAATCAAAATTGGCTAAAATGCTACTACCAAAGTTACTTTCATGAATTGTCTTATTATAAAAACGTCCAAAAGTACTCGAATTCGACCATCCTGCAGCTTTGTTTATAGCTGTTAGCGATAGGCCAATACTTCGTGCCTTGGATGTTGATGCAGCCCTAGTAGAGTGAGAGGTAAATACATTAATATCAATTCCTGCCAATTGCAAAGTGGTTCTCACCCAACGTGAAATGGTCGAGGTGCAAACAGATTGATGAGGAGATTTATAACTCACAAACAATTTCACTCTCGGACCACGTAGAGAGAATGATCTAAACAAGTACTGCTGTGTGTTAAATACAGGACAAATAGCCTTGCTATCAGGGAATGCACGGAAATCAAGAGGTGACTGATGAAAACCAGGTCTAGTTGTTTTGAGAACTTGATCAATATAACAAACAACTCTGTCATCAGAAACATCCATAAGTCTGATGTCAATAGCAGCAAATGTTTGGTCTCTCTGTCCTGATAGAAGACAAAACAATGTTACAAGACGAAAGGTAAGCATTTTAAATGGAATAGCATCTGCATCACCTAGGCCCTTTAGATACTGTAACACAACATCAACATCATAAGTGTTAACATGCTTAGGAATACTCGGCCGTATGTTAAACATCCCTCGCAGTAATCTCTTAACGAGTGGATTGTTACCAAATGACGAACTTGTATCTGGTGTCATAATATTGGATAATGCTGAACGAGCAGTGTTCATAGCAGAGTAGCCCAAATTACGTTTGTTAAATAGTTCTGTTAGGAAGTTAATTCCATGATTAATAGAATAATGTGTGGGACATATGTCCACTCTTTGACAGTAAACAAACCATCTGTCTAAATAGGTAGAATATTGTTTTGAAGTACCAGATGACCAAGATGAATCAATTATATATTTGGCTTCAGATGATATACCTATTGGCAATCTTTTGTTCCAGATATCATGCCAGCTAGCAGTTGCAGAGACTTCTGTAGTGGGTGCACAGCTTGTGGACGGTTTGGCAGTAACATTAGATGCTTGCTGGAAGGAATAACAATTCGTTCAGAAATCAACATTCTATTGTACAGAGAATACCAGGGACTATATGGCCAATTAGGAACAATTAGAAGACCAGTTGCATTGTCAGAACAAATCTTTTTTGATTACAAATTTAAACACAGATGGATTTAAATGCCATTCTGTTTGAAGCTCATAGTTTCTGGATTCAGCATCAGCTAAATAGTTCTGAACTCCTGGGATGAAGGACACAGATATGCAGTTTTGATTCTGGATAGCCCAATTCCAAATTTGCTTCACTTCTTCATTACAAGCCAAAGAACGACAAGATCCCATATTTTTAATGCTGTGTACTGCATTCATATTATCAGTCAAAATTTTAACATGTATATTCCTTTGGTCAATCAAAGAAGTTAGCCCATACAAAATAGCCTTTAGCTCAAGCACATTAATATGGAGTTGTTGCTCATGGAGATTCCAAACCCCTCTTGTCCTTGTACTGCCTAAGACAGCTCCCCAACCAGTAGATGAGGCATCAGTAGCAATAACCATTTCAGGATTAGAGATTGCCATGTCATTAAATGAGCTTTCAACATTATCAATCCACCATCTTAAGTCATCATAGGCTGTTTTAGACAGTGACATGGCATGGTCAAAATTGCCCTTAGAAATAGCTAGTGCCTGAATTTTGTCATTTTCTAATGATCTATAGTGTAAAGGCCCAAATTTAACAGCAGGGAATGTGCTCACAATTAAGCCTATCACTGATGCAACATCTCTTATTGATAGGTTATTAGACATACACAATTTGGAACATTTATCTTTAATTTTCAATACTTTGGTTGATGGGAGGGTGACATTCATTGTTTCTGAATTGATAGTAAATCCTAGATAGGTAACACACTTAGAAGGAATAAAATTAGATTTTTTAGGATGAATAACAAAACCTAAGAAATCCAATAATTTGATTGTTTCAACAGTAGCTTTAATACAAGCATCATATGATTCATCAATTATTATGATATCATCAATATATGCTGAGACAATGAAACCTTGCTTTCTCAAGAACGCTAAAGCAGGTTTTAATAATTTTGTAAACTTCCTTGGACCAGAACATAATCCATTTGGTAATGCTAAGAACTTAAACAGTTTGTCTTGATACTTGAACTTCAGATACTTTTGACAGGATTCAGATATGGCTACTGAATAATAAGCATCCTTTATATCTACAGTACACATAAAACAATTTTGTCTAACTAATTTGATAACCTTGTCAAAGGTGCCATCTTAAAATGCATATATGGCATAGACTCGTTCAATTTCCGCAAATTAAGAATAAGTCTAAAAGAATCACCATCTTTTGGGACAAGAAAAATTGGGGAGATAAATTCATCTCCTTCATGATCACATTCTGTTATAACATGTTTATCCTGTAATGTTTTAATCTCTGCAAGAATAAACTCATTTTCTTCAGCTGAAAATGGCACAGCATAATTTCTCTCAAAATTGAGAGGCAATGAGAATTCAAGCTGTAAACCAGCTACAGTTTGTAAAGTTTCAAAGTCACTAGTGACAGTATACCAACGTTCCAGATGATTTTTAAGTGCACCTGCTCTAAATGTGTCAATCTTGTACAAAAGATATTTTGTCAGTTTAGGGAGAAATGAAATGAAATTATTTACATTTATCCCTTGTAAGGCTTCTGCTTCCGCCGATATGGACGAGACTTCTGGCCTTTCTCTAAAAAAGACTGCTGAGTAGGACCATTATAAAAAGAGTGCTGTGTTCGCCTATTAAACACTGGTATCTGCCTATCATGTTGTCTATACCTAGTAGACTGAGGCATCTGTTGAGTAGCAGCAGAGGCAAGACGTTTAGACTCCCTTTCTTGCTTCAGGCGTTTTTCAATGTCGTCTCCAAACAAATGGTTTGAGACTTCACGAGTAGGGTCACATAGTCCCTGTACATCCTTGTTAAGAATAGGTCTTATATTAAGCCTTCGTAAATTTGAGATATTGACACTGGCATTAGAGAGAACAGATAGTGCATCAAAGGCTTTCAAAACAATAGCCTTTGTGTCAATAAGGCTATGATTCTTTTCTGCAAGAAGTAAATCATCAGCCAAAGTTGAAATGATGTGGGAGGATTTAGCAACAGAATGGTGAACATCATATAATTTCCTCTCCCTAGCCAAAACAGAATCCTTAAATGAAGGCATTTTCATTATCAACTTTGGCATAGCTGGAACAGAAATACTCTCAAGGTTAAGAGGGTGCTTGTGCCTCTTAAAAACCTGAGCAACTGCTTTTCTGCTGGGATCTTTCCATTGTTCCTCAATTTTTGAGGCCAGCTTATCAGAGGAAAGACCCTTGCCTTTCTTGTCTAAAAACTGCCTCGGATAACTCATTATCAACAAAGTCCAAGACTTCTTCTTCCATATTAAGATCTGGGACAGATGCCTCAGAATTTACTGTGGAAGGCACATGAAACAACGAGTCAATATCCACTCGCTTTGAACGTTTGGATGATATAGCATCCTGATTTTCAACGGAAGAAAAAGCTTCCGGATAACATTTGGTGTGAGACACAGAATCGTGCTCAAATGAATTATGGGTCTGACATACAGACATTTCATCATAAGACCTCTTGCGACTAATGCTGGTCAGGTCTTACAGCTGTGCAGGAAGAACTCCGCTCTTTATCCCTGCCTATATTATAATTAACGAACTCTTTAAAAAGTCCAGTCAATTCGTTCAAATCTCTTCGTACATTCAATAAATCTAACGACGAATGCGTATGAAGAAAACCTGGTTGTGTTTCGGAAGAAGACCCAGGATCGACTTCGACTCCTGAACCTTGCACGTGTGGGGTCAGAGGTCGAAGGTCACTAGTAGCATACAAATTATCTTGGTTATCCATAACTAAAAAACAAATTGTAACTAGTGTAAATATCCACGTTAGATGTAGCTTGAAAATAAAAATGGAATACGATAAATTCAAAACGAGAAAAGTAAAATACCGACTTGTTCAAACACGTGGCTCCACTGGCTTCTTATCAGCTCGAAACACCAACAGGTTGAAGGTCGAACGCCGCGCGTTGCTCGTATAAATACCGAAAGGAGTTTGGGTTCTAGTTATGGAAAATAA